AAAGTCTCTTCACACTTATGCACAGATTGCCCACAATCCCACGGTGGGAATGTAGTGAAACAGAGCTCCCAACAGAAATGGGAGGCAGAGAAAGGCGGGGGGGACAGAAAGAAAGACAACTCCTCCAGAAGCAGACTACAGAAGCCCGGCAACACACCGTTTAATCATTACATTAAGCTCGGAAGAAGTAGGGTGTCCAACTAATACTCCGAGAGGTGTTTTCAAGCCAATGCACAGCCATGTACCAGCCCCTAACTCCATTCTGTCTAAATATTCTGCCTTGAGTGTAACCAGAAAGGTCTCACCTCTTGCCAGGAATTAGCTTAAACAGTGAGACTGCTTATTTCCAGTGCAGCAGACTCTCATTAATCTGAAACCTTAGACATCAAAACATAGTAGTTTATAGGGCTAACAAATAAAACAGGCAATGATGCGAACAGTAATTTGATAACTTGTTCGCGATGTTTGACATTTCCCTTGTCGACACATGCAACGAGAGCATTTTCAGCGTGCACTTCAACATGTGCTGAAACGTATAACTGAATAAAGTCAGACCTTGACTGTTTTGTATGAGGAAGAAGGCAAAACGAAATATAGATTGCAAACTGGGTGGTGGTGTTGTTGGAGAAAACTAGTCAACTTCACAGTCACATTGTGAGAAGAGCAATGTGTCATCCTTTAGCTATATGGTATGGTTGTCTGAAGCAGCACATATCTAACTAATGAGCTGTCTGGGGAGCGATGAATATTCTATAAAGAGGCTGGTTATGTAACATCACGTCTATCAGAATCTGCTCCCTTGAGCTTAAAAACCAATGAGGTGAATGAAGATGATGGAGATCAATGGCTGCTTGCAAAACACGTTCGGTTCAGAGGAGCTGAACAGGTTGCGTAACGGGTCAGAAGCACTGGATCTCATGATGAATGCTAGAATCGACTGAGTATCTGTATTCAGTATAGTTCTGAGCAGTGCTGCACAGATGAGATAGTGTGTAGAGAAGATAGGTGCGGTGCAGATAATTGCTTTATGGAATCCTTCAGTATGCAGCTACACAGGTACCCTGCTGCTAACGTGGCTGGAATACCAACTGCAAGATGTCCTATATTCTCCAAGTGTGTGGGTGTGTTTCTGCATTTATAGAAAATGCACTTTTACAGAGACATCTGTGAGTGACCTACTTACGGTATGTTCATTGTATAATGTGTGGTGCGCATCAACTGTGTGAATGTTTCACATTTATACATTTTTACCACCTTAATGTAAGAGTGTAAATCTCATTTGTGAAATATAATCCATATCCAGGATCCACAAATTACATAAATGTTAAATGATCATAAACATTAAGGCTACAACTAATGGTTATTTTCATTACTGATGAATCAGCCAGTTATTTCCTTGATTTATTTGGGGTATTTAGGGAACATCTTTTTTGTCTGACCAACAGTACAAAAACAGTACAAAAAGATATTCAATTTAATTACTTTTCTCTGTTTTTATACCATTAATTAATTAAATTAATATATGAAATATATGAAAGTGTCTGATCGTATATATTTGTCCTTTCATGTAACTAACTGTATGGTGATGCCTATCACCCTGGGCAGGTTGGATGGTTAACCACACCTGCCATAATAAAGCTTATCAGCAAGGTATCCATTTCTAAACACTGTGACCTGACGAAGATTCGAAACGCATCGAAACACTGTCTATTTAAACCGGTTTGTGGTTTTGAGTAAACATGCTGACTTCAAGTGGCGTTGCACCTACGTGTTGTAACTACGCACACAAGAGAAGTAAAGTGGGGTGCGTACCTCGGTGGGGTTCTGAGGGACTGTGGAGGCCTTGTATCCCAGCTGCAGGAGCATCGCCTCGGCCGCGTTCCGCTTGGCCACCTTCTTGTTGGGTCCTGTTCCCGTGGCAACCTCGTTATTCACCTTCACCTGCATTGTGCACGGATGCAAACACACGCACACACATGCACACACACACACGAGATGAAGACATCCAGAATTATATCATCATCTGATTAACAACTGAATATTATGTCTGTGCAGAAACAACCAGGGATGACGAATGAATCGCTGAAACCAGTACTAAATTAAAGCACTTTTTCTCATGACTTTGTTCACTTTCGGCCGAGAGCACTTTGGTCCCAGTCAGCCGTGCAATTTACATCGCACAGGAAAAAAAAAAGAAGCCTCCAAGTGAAGTGTTTGTTTTTCACTGATCCCAAAACATTAAATCTGTCTACACAGAATGTAAGCAGATATTTCCAAGAGAATATCAGACGTCGTTATGTTATGCAAACAGACAATTACACTCTACAAATAACATTCTGGGAGCCAAAGCCTGTGAACGGCGAGGCCTCCATGCACTTACTCAAAGCAGCCTGACATGCTCACTAAGTGCTCGTCTGAATGCATCAAATAGGCTCCATCGTGCAATGAGAAAGGAAAGCCTCAATAAATTACAGAATTGCAGAAATAAACACAATCGCCCCTTTTATAAAAAAAACTGTATAAGAAGATTGCGATCTTCTTATACATTTTTTTATCACTCAGGAGGCATTTTGACACTTGGTGGAGGCTTTTTCTGTAACTAGCGATGGGTTCCGAAAAAAAGTGAAAACAGAGACTCATTTGAGCCCTGCTGCTTACCGAGGGAAACAATGTGGAAATTTTAGAAGAGTGAGTGGACTGCACAAAAGGAACACACACACACACAACACACTCCACCGACACCTCACGAGGGCCTAATGTGTGTCAATCAAAGGGCATGGAGAATAGGTTTGAGGCTGAATTACTGCCTGATGCTAAGAGAAGCTCTGTTCTTCTTATGAAAGAAGAGGATTACGGAAAGAGAGACAAAGAGCGAGAGTTTGACTGAGAGAGACGGACACAGAAAGACGAGGAGGAAGAGTAAGACAAAGAGCAATGCAGTTCAAAGTGTTGTGCGTAAATTAACATGTACTACGCCGGCTTCGCTAGTTGTTTGTCTCATACATGAAACGGACTGCTGACTGGGGTTGTAAGATACATACATATTGGAGTAACAACAACCAAAAAAAGACTAACTAAATCTTCATTTTTCCTCTTAAAATTTAAATTGTGCAACTGTCCTTCCCTTTCCATTTTTTCATATTTTGCCATCTCTGCTGACAAAGACTATAAAATGCTTTATCAATAACTTTGTGATGCTGACATATTCATTATAACATAACTACTTTACATACACAACGTAACCTGATTACTGTGAGTGGCTGAGTTTCAGTGAAAGAGTAACATGATTCACAATAAGCCAGTTTCTAAAGAAGCCGGACTTGGCTCACTAAAGCATGAATTAATTCCAATTAAACAGGAAATTTGAAGTTCACATTTTTATTTATTGGATTTTTGCATGAATGAAAGTACATTGTTTTTTCATATTTTCTTAATTTTGTAATAACTGAATTATTAGCAAATGCTCATTGTGAGTGTACTTAAAAAAAAAAAAAAAAAATGGCAGTATCAGGTAATAAGCTTTAACTTAAGATAAAATATAGCCAGGCAATGGCAGTGTCTCATTAAAAACTAGGCAGGTCTAATCTAAGGCAGACCAAGAGTAATGCTGGTGCCAAAATCTTAACCACGATGAACTAATTGACAGATTTTCATGACTTGTTTTCCTGTTGACTAGCAACGATGTGGCTTTTTTATGCAAGACCTCAAACACTTAAAGGAACTCTGAAAATGTTTAGTGTTGTATCTGATGAGATTCCTTCTCCATACAAAGTCCCCGCTCTATTTACTGGATTAGTGATAAACAGAAAATTGCACATAACTTAGTTAAGGGTTAAAGGTCGTTCCTGCAGCAAGACCAAGACATTTTATTTTGTTAATGAATACCGATTCCTTACCACACAGGCCACATTCTAATATCTTTCTGTAGTACAGAAGTCAGTCTGTGTGCTTTCTGTAATAGCAACAACAGCCTGAAATAGTTTGATAGTATAAAGCAGTTGGCTGTTCCACCGAGGAAAAACAGGGCTGTAAAGATGGATGTTCATTTATCCTGAGCTTTATATGCATGCTATAAAAATAATGAACATTAAAACAGAACCTTTTAAGAGAGAACAGACAGAGCAGGTTGAGAGGGTGAGTTTCTGAGCAGATGCATAAACATGTTCTTAAGCCTAAATGACCTCAGGCCTTGTTCTACAACATGGAGTATGTTGGCTGTGTGCAGGATTGGACTTGGACAACCAACCTAACTGACACAGGAAAACCAAAACACGCCTGTTCTAGCATAAAGAGGTTATATAATGCTGCTGCTGGTTGCCTATGGCGAGACAGAGAAGGTTTCTTCTTGTTTAGCCAATGGGCAGTGCATCCACTTAAGGAGCACTTTGCCAAGCATATTCCTCCTCCACCAAATCATACGCTTATTCTTTGATTCATCCATCACGGCGTATAACCACTGGAGGCATTTCAACAGTGATTGTGTGTTAGGATCTGAGAGGTGCGAAAACACTGCTGACCTACACTCAATTCTTTGCTTGAAAGCATCCATTGCAGCAACAGTCAGACAGACAGAGCACCTCTGGCGTTGCTCTGCTAATGTGCTGCTCATACTGTGTATCCACAGTGTTCCAGTAAAATTCAGCATGTGATAGTTAAGCTCCTTTTCCACCTGTGAATACATGACCCTCAGCCATTGCATTAGCTTACACTTATAAAACCCCTTGAAGGGAAACTGGTTTCTTCTAGCGTACATGTAATTAGAAATGTGACAATGGGGAGAAAATGAAGAGAATATGAAACAAAACTATTGTTCACCTGCATGATGAACTCCCGGCGCCGGGGCATCCCCCTTTCAGAGAGCAGCATGTACTCTGGTTCCTTCTCCTTCTTGGCCTGCTGGATCTGGGCCAGACGGCTGATCGGGTTCATGCCCTGGCCATAGTCTGGTCCCGTCTGGGAGGTAAAGAGGTGACACGCGACGATCAATTCAAATTATCACACTCATGTATTGTATTGTCAGCAGTCTACTGAGCTCAATCAATAGTGCAGTAGGTGTGTATGTGTATTCTCTGGTAATATACAACAGTATTGTATGTAAGTCAAGAGAAATAAGTCATTAAAAAAGTGTATCAAACAACTTTTCTGCATAATAAAGACTGAAATCACAGCACGTCTGTGTGCCCAGACCGCAGGTCCTCCAGATCCAGACCCCGGGCTGCGCTACCTTGAGGATGGTCTTGGTACGTTTCTTGTAGTGCGTCTTGGGTTTCTCCACAGCGGGGATGAAGGGCAGCTTCTTCAGATCCTGCAGGATGGACAGAGCGGCACGCTTCTTGGACAACTTCTTGCTGTTGCCCTCGCCCTCAGCAGAAAACTCTCCCACGGTGACGCGGGTCAGGAAGCTTTTCATGTGCGGGGGGCCGCTCTCCTTCAACACCTGGGGGTGGATGGGTTTGGAAATTAGGAACATTTGGACGGAAAAGTTTGTCTTGTACCAGGGTTGTTACACGGAAAACAGGCAGATTTTGAGGTACAAGTAGAAAAGACAGAAAAAAAACTGAATCAATGTGTGTGTTTTTCTCGTGCATGAGCAAGCGTATGTGTGAGGGAGTGTGTAGCACGCTCTGCAAGCAGCTACACCAGGTGGTCCAACACATCTGTTCTCGATGGTCACAGTACTACCCACCCATGTGTGTGTGTGTTATTCATATACAAAACACACACAGACGTACAAACACACATATGAGGAGGAACATATTCCTAGATGACAGTCTCTAGTGTTGAGGGCTCAGTTTCCTTCCTCTAGCCTCTGGTCACCTGGGAGACCTAAAACAAACACCGGCTGGCGTTAGGTCATGCTTCTGCAATCACGTCTACTTCCTGTGAAGTCCGAGAACAGTGCGAGTGTGTGTATGTGTGTGTGTAGCAGGTGGGGTTCTCCCCAACCTTATTTAGGAAAACACACTGGAGGAAGAATTAGGTTTCACACACTTACTGAGTCCAACAGTACATTTACGGCTAATGTGGACGCGTTTTTTGATTCATAGCTCACCGACTTTCCCCCTCGCTCTCCCTCTAACTGTAACTGTCGTCTGTAAATGTTTCTTTGGACTTTCTCAAAAGGCCCCCACCCCTCTCTCCCTCTCTCTTTTATTTGCGCTCAATTTGTGGTGCAGACAGCACAAATTGTAGCAATCAGATGCAATCTAGAAACAGTTAATTTGAACCCAGTGACCGATAAAACAGATTAAACTGATAAGCGGAACCTTAAGCATTCCTTAAATACTTCACACATCAACACAGACTAATACCAGACCTTGAGGAGAACAAAGGATAATGTGTGCATACCCTTCCTTTCCTACTACATACTGTAACCCAGACAAACTTGTGTTTTTAATTCAGTTAAAAAACTAAGATGACAATGAAAGTCTGGTGCATGAAAACCAAACAAAGAAAGGTGAAGCTGAATCAATCATTAAATGTTCAGAAATGGATAAAACAAACATAAATAAAAAATATATTTATGCCCATAACTTCTATAATTGCAATGTCACTATTTACTGTGAAATTGCAAGTCACTTTTATTACATAAAGGCAAAAAAAGGTTATATTTAGGTTTCTTCACTCTAAATTACATATTTCTGCTCAAATGACTGCAGAACACTCTTGTTAACATGGCTACCACTGGCCCCGTGTTCGCTGTCAATGTACCTGTCAGCATTCCAGCACAATGACTTTAAGTATATATGAGGATGGGTGTTGTAAGGAAGCCTTGGAGCTGTCCAAGCTAACAGCCAAACTCGCTCCCACCCAGGGGATCTGCTCTGGTCTTGCTCATCTCCAGAAAAAGGAAATGTAACATGGCAGCTTCTTGTACAACATTCAGTGGAACTAGATTCATCCACATTTCTGAACTTGGTGATGACACTGCACATCGCCAGCCACTGGTCGGCTGAGATTATGTAACTTGGAGAAAATAAATTTGAGCTATTAACAGAACGTAGATGTAATTTGTGTGTCGAATGCTGTTGTCGTGGATGATGGGATGTGTAGGAAAAGGCAGTGTCCTGGCTGTCCTCAATTCTGTACTGTGCTGTTCCTCTCTCTCCATGTCCATCATTGGCTCTTCCAAACATGTGTAACTATTCAGCTAATGTGGTTGAGCAAGATGGTAAGCTGACCAAGAAATGAACATATTTGCATCCTGGTGGGTGACCACGACGTTCCCGGTTTGATTCCGACCATGAAACTCTGTTACACGACATTATTTGTTTGTCAGGCAACGAGCGGAGACTCAGCTGGTTCCAGCCAAGAAATTGTCCGACACATAACTCCCTGTAAAATAACAAATTGTTGATTTTAAACTTTGGTTTAGGGACGGATTTAACAAACAACATATAACGTGTTAATTAGTGAGCTTTAGGGTTGATCGAAGGAATTTTGTTACCTTTAGACCGAGTCAGGGTAGCTTTTACCCTGATTTTCAGTCTTCGTGCTAAGCTAAGCTAACCCAGCTTCTGCTGACGTTCGAGTGGCATCAGGCTTCTCCTTTAATTTTTAGCAAGAAAGCAAACTTTCTCAAAATGTCAAACTGTTCCTTTAAAAATATCAAGAGCAGAGGTTGTGCTGTGGACCACATTCAAGTATTTTAAGATCACAGTCTAACAACTGTATTTTATAAAGTGAAAAAGTATTTTATTAATAACACACCAAAATCCTTTACAGAAACAAATGTTCAAGCATGCTTGTTACCGAGTCAGTGCTCTTTGGTTTTTGGCTTTCTAAGTTGTCTGTTTCCTTTCCGCGTATCCAAAACACTCTGGGGAACTTGCAAAATACAGCAGAATAAGCGATGTGATGAAATATTGCACTGATAAAATTCACTTGTACTGTCTCAAATGAACACATGCAGTCTCTGACAGGAAGCACAAAATTCCAACGTGGCCTGTATACGTAAAGGGTACAGTCAACAAAAAGTATGGAACAAAGTGTGTATCTGTGCACACATGTCACACACTCTTGGCCCGGGATGGCGGCAGACGAGCTGCAGTCAGTCTCCTGGCAGACGACACAGGATCTGCGCCACACCGATGGGATTTCAGCACTTCCATTCATTTACACGCACGCCCACACACACATACATGCAAACAAACACACAAACACACCTGTCTACCACCTAATGACAAGGATCAGGTTGTACACAGGAAACACTTGGTAATTCAATGTTTTTTTCCCCCCAATCCCCTTCTCCTCTTGTCTCCTCATCTCTTCTTTTCTCTAACATGGGAGGCCTTCTCTTCGGCTTCTCATAGAGACATTAATACCCTGCGCAGTCGGAGGATCGGTGCATGCGAGACCTCAGGTACTCTGGAAGAGGAGGCTATGGGAGCAGGGTAGGACAATGGTGGGGACTGGTAGAGGGAAGAAAGGCTCTTTTGTGACGAGTGGTGGATGGACAAGCCCCGAGGGAAGCTGCTTCTTGTAAGATGGGTGGTTCTTGGCTCGGACCCTCATCTCTTGTGTCCTCCTTGGAAAGGGAGCCTCTGATCCAACACACAAGCTGTGATTTATAGATTGGTTCCTCTTTGATGCTGACATCTGTTTGATATTGCCTGACGGGGGGATTAAATGAGCCAACTGGCTCTCAGGGTGGCGGCGACCCTCATCGTTGCAGAGGGATGGGAAAGCAGACACTCGCGAGCAGTGACTCACGGGTAATTTCATGCCACAGTGAGGGCAGGGATGAGATGATGTGAAAACATGGCTGCTGTGAAAGGCGTTCACATGAGAGATGACCATTACGGTTTTGTGTAGGGTGCGTAACTATGAATATGTAACTGTGCGTGCATTTGTGCGAGTTTGACTGTTACTGGGGGTGTGGGAGTGTTCCATTTCTTCTCAGTGCATCAAAGAAGACACGGTAAAAGGACATATGACATGGCAGGGTAAGAGATGAGGCCAAACTTAGTCTAATGAGTTATAATGTAATGGACCCAATGGGCAAGAAGAGACCCATAGAGACATGTGTAACTCACACTTGGTCTCTAGCCACAGTGTAGTGGCAGTATGAGAGCATATTGCATGCAACACACTGATTGAGGATGAAAGTGAATCTGCTGGAGAGCCATCAGGGCTATGAGGGGGAGAGAAAGGTATGACATGCCAGGAGAGGGAGAGGATTATTGCCTCAACGCAGCCTGGCCTTCGGACAGTTTAGTTTGACATGGCACAGGGAAACAAATGCGGTGTGACTGATATGCAGAGGTGGAGAACAAAACTGATCAGTTTTTGGGTGTAGAAATGCAGTCACTGACAGGAAGCACAAATGAAAAGGCAGCACTTAGGGAAAGAGTCACTCTTTACTTTAAAAAGGACCTGTGTGTAGGATTTAGGGGCATCTAGCGGTGTAGTTGCAAGTTAATGTAGTGAATATTACATTCCATTTCTGCCAAAAGACCCTCCTAAATGTCAAACACTGGACTTTTAAATCATAGTCTATTTATACCACAGAAAGGGCCGAACAAACCAAACTTAACACACAATTAGCAACTTTGCAAAGAACTGGCAAAGAATATTAGCTGTACACAAATGGTAAAATAAAGTGATTTACTGCTCATCAGATGGCAGTAATGAACAGCCAGTCTCCAGACTGACAGCACGCAGAAGAGAGAATTGTTGAAGGAATGTGGCTGTGTTCTGCTTTTAAAAAACCGCCGCTGTCAGCTTCCACTCTAGAAGGACTGAAAATGAAAGTGCCATAATTGCTGACAGTGACGCAGACATGACAGATAATGAAATTACATCAATCCAGATTTAGCTGGCTGAAATTATTAATAGCAGTTCCAGGAAGGATAGCCATGTCATGCTCCGATGAGCAAATGCGTTTTTCGAACAAAGAAGGGGAGGATTGGAGCGCTTTCCAGATCACTTTTTCCAACGTTGTGTAAACTCTTATTAGCAAGCAAAGTCAACAGACTGAGAAGAGTCTCCCCTCCCTTCCTTCCATCCTTGTCTCAATTTCCTCTCACCCAAATCCATATCTATCCCCCTAGCCTCAACACGCAGCCGCCCTCTGTGTGATTTTTGGGAGTGATGGTAAGAGAGGTGGAAGGCAGGGATTCTGTGGAGGAAGGGAGGGGGCACACAGAGTAAACTGAGCCTCCCTTGTTTTTGGCACCTTGCAGAGTGCAGTAGAAGAGGAGGGGGGCGATCAGGGAGTGAATATTGGATGAGTCAGCTGAGATATGGTGAAAGCCAAGGAGAACGGACCCAGCAGGTCACGTAAGGACACACTAAACTTCTACATGGATTTAGAAAAAGGTTGGGGGGGCAGGGATGGATGGATAAGCAGTGGTAAGATTCCCTGTAAGATCCACAGGAATCCTGCAAGGCAAAACTAAAATATTGAGCAAGGCGGTTAACCCTCATCTTATCCAGAACAGGCCAGTGGCCAACAGTGGAAGAATGCAGCAGCACTGGGCAGCTCCCAGCTGATTTTACCGAGGTTGCCAACCCTCCGCTGCAAAAATCTTTTCACAGAGGAAGCCGTCAATAAAAATATGTTCTCACCAAACAGAAACAAACACAGCAACAAACTAACCGATGCAGAGGTGGCTTTAGTATTCATTTCCTCCAATGGTCACTACATGCTGGGTGTAAAACTGCATAAGAATGTACTGACGTGAAAAGGAAAATCCCAAAGAATCTACAAAGCACTGGGGTTTCAATATCAATATCACACACTCACACAAACACACACACGCACTCTTCAGGATTTGCTGCAGCTGCATCTCCACGGAATTGATGACTGCTTTTTCTTCTCAAGTTTTAAGAAGTGTATACACAAAGCAAAGGACATCAAATGATGCCAATGAACCCACATATTTTTCATAAAAGATGAAACAATGTCAGGGTTTGCAAGGCTTGGCTCAGCAGATGACAGTGATTGAAATATCGGTCAGGTCCTGGTGTGTGACAAATAACACATGTGAGAGAGCACAAGCAGCATTGCAGGTTAAGTACTGAATTTGGTTTGAAAATCTCCAGCTGCAAACGCTTTTCATGTGCATGTAATGCACTGAGATTAAGATCATTTGTTGCTTGATTCTGAGCAGCTGGACTTGTATTTTAATGTCAATAGCTCTGTATTGATTGTCTCAATGACTCCCATCAGAAGTTGTCTGCCCTTAAATAACATCCTGTGGTTGGAAGCCATAATGGATCACACTGCTAGAACATATGAAATGTCAAGAGGCAGATTTAACTGTGCAGGACAGTAAACGGGGCAAATTAAGGAACAGGACTGCTCGTATTGTAATGTGGGGACAGGGAATACATGTTTTGGCTTTGTGTATGCAAGCACTCACTGTTCAGGCCCACAAAATTACATTTTGAATCCTTGTCCAGATTCCAAGGCTCTGCATTTTTTATGTTATGTAGCACTGAAACCATAGAAAGGTGTAAGACCTCTCTTCCCAAAGAAAGATTTATTGGAGAGTGCATTACATAGTACAGGTATACCCAATAATCTAGTAACTTAAAGGGGATTTCAAAAAGTGCATAAATAAATGTTTTATCAAACTTTGCAGCTAGAAAAAAAAAAAAACATAATTTAAGGAGGAATGTTGATTTATAAAGAATATCTAATTGATGAAGGAATGACTATAAGACCATTTCATTTTGTTTTGTGGGACTGGAAACATGGCTGACTACTACAGGAAAACAAATTCGTACCTTATCAGCTGAGTCACCGCCAAAACCAATGACCAATGAAACAATGAACCCATAGTGACGTCCTACATCAGCACAGAAACACTTTGAACTTAACACCATTAGAATGTCCACATGCCTAAAAAGGCTGTGATCCATCTAAAAATTCCTGTACGCAGATTCTTCTGACTCTCTGTACAATAAGTGACCTCACTGATGGGAAAATTAAGCAAAACTGGGTAAACACACATCCTTGCGCAGTTACAATAATTTCATGACTACTCAAACATCTATGTGGCCTTATCCTCACTTCATTACTTACAGGAGGAACATGGCTTATAATTCACAGAAGTAATAATGCCATCACGTGGCCATTTTTCTACAGGTGTTCAAACTCTCATATTTTCCCTCACCTCAAAGTTGACAGATAAGTTCCTCTTGAGGGCAATTTCGTAGACCAGGCTGATCTCTGATTTGCTGGCATCACTGCCTTCCTCAGTCTCACCTTTTTCCTCTGGGCTCTGCAAAAAAAGGGGGAAAAAAAAAATAATCAGGGGTCAAAATGGTAAATGGGTACATCCTCGTTGTTACCTCTCAACCTAGTGCCACTTTTAGGTTTTCAAATGGTCTATTGTTCTGTAACGATGCAACTCGTGATGCAATTTGCTCTGGCAGGCAGGTCAGGTCATCCTTCCATTCAAACTGAATTCCACCCATCCTGGATCTGATTGGACCAATCACAGCCTTTTATTTAATATGTAGCGGGTTTTGTATGATGATTGGCCGAAGAGCGACGCCGGTCCAAATTTGAAAAGTCACATGTCAAATGTTTCGCTACTCTGATAAATTGTAGGCCCATCCAATTGCGTCCAATCTCCAGGTCCGTCCATGGCGACACATAGGCTCACAAAACTGTCAAACAAGGCAGTGAATCATGATTCTGTTACTGCCTATTTCTCACCATAAAAAATGTTTTCACAAACACATTTTAATTAGTATACTGTTCAGCTGAATTTTGAGAAAGTACTTTATGTGACAAGACCACCATTTTTTCCCTGCTTGAAAACAGATGGAGTGGATTAGACCACAAATAAACGTGGACACCGTTCAACCAACTAAACATCAGGTAACATTTTGTCTGCGGAAATAGTTACATTAAAAGATATACTCGACTGAAAAAGCATCCCTAAAGCATGGCTAAAAAGGGACTGAGGTGCAAGATCTTCTTCCCAATAACATCCTGGGTCAAAGCAATAATGAATCCCACAAGAAGTAAAAACAGAAATGAAAATCATATTTAGTCGTAGAGAACACAAAGTGCTTGGGGCCTGCTATAATGTTCCTACACATGCAGATATTTTTGTTAATAAGTTGGGCCAAAACTAAGATTTTATTTTCTTTTAGAGGACTTACTTGATCAAATGCAAATGTCTGAGTACTTAAAATTTCAAAAGGAAGTATTACGGTCAAAAAATACCAAACTGTGACCCAAAAGCTGTGGCACACATCAAACCAAGAATTACACGCCTACAGGGTGGATTTCGGCCAAGCCGTTGCAACGAGAAGCCTGTCTGTTTTCTGGCTATGATCCTTATCTGATATGGGATTGAGAACTCGGTATTCCAGGACATGACTGGTGGTCCTCTGTCTGTACAGGAAGGTCTCTTGAAGGGGTGGTCCATTAAATCTGAGATTTTTTGTACATTGAGTCTCTTGTTGTGGATAGTCAAATTATTATTTGTGAAAATCAAGAACTGTCTCTCCCTGTAAGAAGAAACTGGGGAACAAGGGCTCAAATCAGAAAAATGAATAAGGAAAAGGTCAGTGGGAAAGCACCGGCAGGTTTCATTGGGATAACCTTTTTTTTTGATCCAGACATAAGAACATTTTTCTCAGTCCTCAAAATTTGCCGCCCATGAATCTATGAAGTAATTCTGGACTTTATACCAGATGACTCAGGTTTGAGCCTTCGGTCAGTTTAATGGTTTTTAAATTATTAGTTGTTGAAACAGACTAAATCTTTTTAAATTGATTACTATTCATCTCTGAATAGAATTAGCTATCAGCCCCCTCTACTAATAAAGAAACCTATTTCACAGCATAGAGATAATTTCATCTGCCATACAATAAGGGGTTTTTGGTGCCAATTGTCTATGGGAATGCAGAGTGCTGTCTCGATCTTTATCTTCGCATGTCCAGCTCTTTGTCTGATTAAGTCTGAATGGCTGCGGTCTTTCCCTTTGGGCTTCTTCCCTTCTTCTGCCTCATTGTGCGACCTGATACGACGGATGATTCATACTGAGAGATCTCTTGGATTTCACAGGAAACGCTGTCACGTGGTGCGAAGCACCTACCGCACTGGGCGAAAGACCTCACATTGGCGAGAGGTGCGCGTGTACGCACTGTACGGTTATTGTGTGTGCTGAGACGTACATTTTCCGTCTCCAGAATTATATGTCAACATGAGAGAAGTGAGCCAGTCCAAAGTGCCTCGTCCATTCTTGTTTCATGAACTGTTTTCATTACAATATGGGTATTCGTGGTTTTCATGGTTACATTTCCCTCTGCCACTATTCGTGATGTGTGTGATTAATAGTGTGAATCCCCTCTCAAGGCTGCATTAACATGCTGTGGGGAGCCAGTGTCCGCATGTATCTGTGGGAGTGTATTAGCGCGCAAACTGGAATGACGAAGCAGATAAGCAACCTTCCTGTGACAAAGACAAATAGAGAGCTAAATCTGACTTCGTTGCGGCTTCTACTTATAGATCTACCGGACGGAGAGTCCTGGGAAAAGTGTAAGCAAGAGAAGAACCCATATAGTGCTCTGAGACATCAAGTCTCACCCTAAAGGAGCTGCTTTGAATGAACAGTGACTGTGGGCGAACAGAAGGCTTCACATTCACATCTATGCTCATGGGCAATTGATTTCGTAATAGGGCTAAAGGATTCTAGATCAAAAGGATGGGAAGAAGGGGCTCCCACTGGACAGAACAACATAAAAACCTTATTATGAAGTTAAGTTAAATATATCCTCCTTCAAACTAACCATGTCATGACAATGCAACCCTTCTTCCTAGGAACTGATGCAGACTTCCCCTCATAAATACCCACTCAACCCACTGATTGTGAGGTAAACAACCAGCACTTTTCAAGACAGGAATTGTACTTGTTTAACATCGGATATCTTCATTTTATTATCACCACCAGCATCGAAACTACCTGCCAGGGATTTATGAGTTAGTCAGCAGTTTCATTTTATAATTTTTATTGGCCGAAGCCCTGTAAAGTTGGAGGTGTTTTTTGTGTTCCCTAGGGTTACATATTGTTGCTCTACCGGTGTATAAACAACAACACAATTAGAGCATCACTAATATTTCTCTGCGGTCTTCCTCAAAATAAAGGTTTGACAGCCCATGGTAACAAGGAACACTTTCAGCCTGAGGGCGTCCACACATTTACACATCTAAGAGCGCACACACTCACGCAGAGACAGAATGACAGACATATAGTGTAGACACAATGTGCCTCAATTTGTAAAGCAAGACTCAGAAGCAGCAGCAAACAAAGAGCACATTTATGGAGGCCGACGCCACAAGACAGCGAGTCAGGCAAGTGAGAGGAGCCAAAGCGTTTTGAATAACCATCAGTGATGCCAGGCGGTGAGGATATGGGTAATTTGATTTCCGGTGGGAGATGCTAACAACAGTTAACAGCTATGCCTGAGGGGAAACTCTGGAAAGGTAGTGACATTGGGAGGAGGAAATACACTCCTGCCAGGTGCAAACTAAACTATAGGGACTGCTTGGCTTAAGTTATACATTAGAGTAATTAGAGCTGTGGTGGATTTGGATTCAATCTGATGAAAAGCCTGTTATGCATTCAACGTTGCATCTGCAGAACAACACTGCGTAACACTTTTAAGAGAGTCTGTCTGGGGAGGGCATGAACAAATCAGCAGCGCAAATCCATTGACTTTTCATTAAGGGAAGAGTTTTTAAGTAGGAGGGGGTTGAGTAGAGAGTCATCTGGCGTGAAAGCAGCCACAAGGTGACAAATGTGCTAAAGAGATGGGGTGACAATGACTGGAGGACAATTTGAGTGGAGAGTGGAGCGACCTTTTATAATCGGAATGAATGACAGAATATCAGGCTGGAAAGGAAACAGCTTTGTGGAAGGGACTAGAGGTTTCATAAGGTTGAAATATGTGCAGACAGCAGCACAACTACTCAGGTATAGTCAGATATAACCATTTCAGTTTTCATATGATTGTGGTGTCATGATGATGTCAACATATTAGCTACACTGCAGAGCTAAAACAAAAAGTCGATCAACCTACATGTTTGTTACCTTGTAACTGGCAGTGGCTGACCCAGTGTTAGTGGTAGTAAAACATACTGTGATATCTGCTATGGTGTTACAGTGTGTTCACATGGTCACATTGTTATTTGCAGTAAATAGTGGAAGGAAGTTCCAAAACAAAACACTGCACACACCACATTTACTGTCAAAATGTTCACTATGCTAGTGCAAACCCTCGCACTCTGTACTAACAAGTCACAGGTTTCTTCGCCAATTTTTTTTACGTACCAAGTCTACATTGCCCGGGGTGCTTTTGAATCTCAGATTTTAGGGCAGTGCACAGACATCATCTCTATCTAGTGTTTGGTTTGTGTGCTTCGGGCTACTGTAGAAACATAGCAGTTCATCATGTGGGACTCCTTAGAAGAGAACCCACTCCCTCCGTAGATAAGAACAGCTCATTCTAAGGTAACGAAAAAACAATTCTTATTTTCAGGTGATTATACACTGATGAAAACATACCTATGGACATTATATTCCATTTCTGCCAATAGATCCTCTTAAATAATACACAATGGACCTTTAAGCAGGTCATTAGGAGTAATAAATTATTTAGATATAATTACTAATGCAGTGTGTGTGTTGCTCCAGTGCACTTAGAGCAACACACATTAATAAAACTATATATATTTTGTTTATTAAATTAATTAAAAAAACATGTAAAGTGCATTGCAGTAGTGCCAAAATAGGCTAATACAATACAGGGCAGAGGTAAACAATAATGGTTGTGTCCAGACAAATGGCAATCTTTTACTTTCATTAGTCTAAAATGGTCAGTCAGACAGGAGTCCATTTAATCTTTTATAGTAATGGAAATGTACTGAAGATAGCAGCAAGGGTTCTTCTCAGAGGGGAAGTCAGCAAGTCCTTGTCTAACAGCTTTTGGCACGCACTGTTAGTGTAACCCTTTGTGTGTTTATAAGTGTTTGTGTGTGTTTACCTGTGGTGGCCGCTCGGGGATGGGTTCATTGCGCAGGGCTTGCAGGGCCTTCATGGCAGCGCTGTGTCTGGCTGCTTGGCGGGTGCGTCCTTCACCAATAAACTCATGACTCCCCACAGACAGCTGCACATAGAAAATCTTAGGAACAGGATAATGGTACCTGGAATTAACAAAACAGAAAGAAGAGGGAAAAATGTATTATAAAAACTCCTAGCTGGGTATATATACCAAACAGTATATATATATATATATTTTCAAAATAAAATATATGGGATACATATATGAAAAGCAAGGGAAGGCAGAGGCTCAGGCTTTATGGGCCAAGTTATCAATTCACACCGTTTACACTGTTCCCAAATTAAAAGGCCCACCACTTCATCAGGGTCAATTACTACACAATAGCCTGCTGGCCAACCACTTGACTAATGTCTCGCTATTGAATCTCAGCTTAGGGATGCCAAACAAAGCACAGGGACATATATATCCTCTCCTCTTTCTTCTGGCCCCGAACATAGATTTTGCTCTCTTTCTTTGGGGCCTGACAGAGCGGGACTGAGCTGTCACCGAGCAGATTTAGAGGTCTGCGAGTCTGTGTGTGAGATACCCCCTCCTGGGTCAGGAGGGGAAGGGCTGAGAATGTCTGCCGGGCCAAGGACAAGGAAAGAGAAATAGTGGGAAAGCTAACAAGAGAAGAGAGTAATCCAAACTTTTTAATATCCGTCTCCCCGTGCTCTTTTTTCTCTGCCAGTATGCACTTATATTCATAAGAGCACAGAGCCAGCTTATTATGTGGTAGACACAAAATTATATTTATGGAACTGTGCCTTGACTAGAGCCAAAAATGTATTCAGTATTTTCATGTTTGGTCAAGGCATTTGGGCTTTTAATGAGAGAAAATCAATAGTTAGTGAATGTGGTGGAGTTTATTTCACTACACGCTGAAGAAAATTAAAACAAGCTTTACAGAAAAGCAGCTATCCCTTTTCTCTGTGTATACGTATCTGTTCATTTTCAGCAATACCAAAACATCCTACTTGGCACTGCAGCAGCTGTGAGATTCAATACTTAATAGGAATTTGGGGAACCTAAGAAGCGCAAAAAGGCTAAGAAGCTTGATTATGTGGGACAGGAAAACCGGTGTGCGCTGGAAACTCTCACCGTTTCTTTCACAACCGCACACATGCACATCATTAAACGAGGAGATCTCAAGTTGTAGCGCCATGTTCAACCCAACAAACCCTTTTTGATTTGTTTGAAAAACTACAAACACTCACTTGTATAGACTGTAATGTATTTAATGACTGAGATCAAATGCTACAAGTCATTCATTCTCGTGTGTCTCTTAAAGTACAAAAAGACGAGACATACTCCATGTTTACCAATTTAGCGTGTTAGCATGCCAACATTTGCTTATTAGCACTTAACACAAAGTACAGCTGAAATGTCATTTAGTTTATACGGACATGCCTGTTCCAAATATATTGGCAATCGGTCCAACATCTCAAACCACAAATGTAAACCTAAAGGGGCCACCAGAGGAAAAGTCAGCGAATCTCCAAAGACACCATGAATGGCTGCACAAATAAATAACACAATAGTTGTTAAGATATTTCAGTCTGGACCACAGGGGTTGATTGACAGACGCTGTTACAAACACTGCTCACGTGGATTAAAAGTAAAGGTTGAGCGTTCCACAACATGCTTCACAGTAAATATGTTTTTAAATGAAGATATTGCTAGAGCGTCACTGTGAAGCTGCCTCTGTCTCGGAAGAGTATTGACAATGCTGGCAAGGTCTGCTAATGTTACCAAAAAAATGACAGTATAATTAAGATCTTTTATGACTTAGATCTTATTTTGCTGGTTTTGGCCATCAGTCCTGTTGGCAATAATAACAATATACTGTACTGTATTTAATGGCTGAGATCTGTAAATGGGCTGAAGACACTGCTCAGACGGGGCAAGAAACATAAGTAGTCATACAGATTTTAAACAAACCCCAGCGTTTTATTGAAAGAGAAAACAAAGACAGCAGTATACTACTATTAGCCAAACCAGCCAGACTGACTGTAATTTTAAATACTTACTTTATTAAGATAATGACTGAATTGTAGGATTGTTTACAACATGTCTGATTGATTGCTGTAGCCATCCTCCCATGTTCCCTGATCTCAGCGGTTGCAGTGTTATCATGACTTTCATAATTTATAGAAACTAAGGCCAAAACTATGAACATAAGGCCCAAGTTGTAAACTGGAATCAACTTTTAACTTGACTGAGTTCTCCAGAAGCTGACGTGTGGTTTTTCCACAAATTTACCAGAAATACTGACTCTTCCCTCTTACAAGATAACGGTTCAATTTCTTCTCCTCCCTTCGTTTCCTCTCTCCTCATGTGTTTCCTCAATCTCCTGCTCAGCAGGCCTAACAATGAGTCAGCGTTTTACTCCCAGAATTCCAGCAGGTCTTTCTCCAGCCCACAGCCCTACTCTCATCCGTCTGCTCTCAGCTCCTCCTGGCCACGGGAGCCTTGCCTGGGCGGGGGCCTGCCTGGCCCTCGCACGTCAAGTGTGGCCCCAGGGTCTCAGAGGACATGCCAAGTGCAACATGGGCTCCGGCCAACAGCGCTAAGCTGAGATGGGAGCAGCTGGGGCTGGAGCACTGAGTACAGGTGCAGAGAGGAGGAAAGAGAGAGGGATAAGAAAGAGAGGGGAGTGAGACTGAAGGGGAGAGAGAGAGAGAGA